ATTAAATAAATTTTTTATGCATTAAATTTTCATTTAATTTAACTTGATGTATTAAAACAACTAAAACTGAAATAAAAATTAATAAAAACGACATATTTAAAAAATGACAAAAATTACTAAACTCAAATTAAAATAAAAAAGAACATATAAAAATATAAATGATTTAATTAACATTAATACTACTTTATAAAATATAAAAAAAATTATAAAAGCTATAATAATAATATCTCAGACAGTGTTGCTAAAATAGCACTGGTTGAACTAAACAGACGTCATCTGGAGATTATCGTGTGCATCCTCATGCTGCTGGAACTCAAAACAAACACAGTCATTTGGCACAAAATGTTCCTGGCAGTGACAAGATGACAGTGTTATATTTTCTCATCGCTTCATTACAGATTAGACATAAATAAACTGGTCAGCTGGAAGCTTGTGGCCTCTTCTAACCGCTTTATAACAATCTCTTGTAGCTCTGTTGAATCATCTGCTCTCCTCATGTGCTGTAATAAAAGCTCTTCTCCGATCCGCAGTGCCGACTCCCTCCTCCAGTCCTCCAGACGCTGTGGACCGATATCTGGAGACGCCAGCCGACGAGAACGAACACACACACTTTCTGAAGGCCAAAGAGAGTCTGGAGGCCAAACACCGCGAGCGCATGTCTCAGGTGCAGGATTCATTCATAGAAATTCATGCTGCTGTTCATCGAGGACGTGTTAAATTGATCAAAAGTGACAGTAAAGACATTCATAATGTTACAGTATGTTTGTTTTCTTTTGAACTTTCTATTCATCTGTGAATCCTGAATATTTTTGATCAAATAAATGCAGCCTTGTTGAGCAGAAGAGACTTGTTTTAGTAACATTAAAAAATCGTACAGTTCCCGAACTTTAATGTATATTGTGTGTTTTGAGATGTTTGTACAGAAATATGATGTTTAATTCAATTCAAGTTTATTTGTATAACGCTTTTCACGATACAAATCGTTGCAAAGCAGCTTTACAGAAAATTAAGTTTCTACAATATTTAGTAGTAGCTTATCAGTGGTGACTGGCAGTTAATGTACATATGGCAGAAATGTACGGAAAAATCAATTAAAGACGTAATCAAACAAATGACTTTGCAATAACAAAATGTGACCCTTGACCACAAAACCAGTCTTAAGTCGCTTGGGTATATTTGTAGCAATAGCCAAAAACACATTGTATGGGTCAAAATTATCGATTTTTTCTTTTATGCCAAAAATCATTAGGATATTAGGTAAAGATCATGTTCCATGAAGACATTTTGTAAATTTCCTACCGTAAATATATCAAAACTTAATTTTTGATTAGTAATATGCATTGCTAAGAACTTCATTTGGACAACTTTAAAGATGATTTTCTCAATATTTAGATTTTTTTGCACCCTCAGATTCCAGATTTTCAAATATTGTTCTATCCTAACAAACCATACATCAATGGAAAGATCATTTATTCAGCTTTCAGATGATATATAAATCTCAATTTCGAAAAATTGACACTTATGACTGGTTTTGTGCTCCAGGGTCAAAAATGTATCATGATACCTTGACAAAGGCGTTTTGCCGAAACGTTGGTAAAATAAAGATTTATCTGCAAGTGAGAGTGCGGTCAATTGAACTAATGAAAACATTAACCGAAATAAAATATACAAAAAACTAATTTTAATTTTAGTTTAAGGTAAAAAGTTCGTTTAATTTTTAATTTAGTTTATTTTAGTTTTAGGTATTAAAATAACTAAAACTGAAATTAAAATTAATAATTATATTTTTATATAAATTATTTATTAATTACTTATAAATTTAGAATTATTAATTCTGAATTTAAATTAGTAGCCAAGAAAGAATTTATGTATTTATGTAAGTAAAAAATTAGATTTGTGTAAAACTACACAGATGTATTTACAAACAACAACTAATAAAAATGTAAAAAAATATGCAATAAAATTGCTAAAACTTTAAATAAAGTTAACATGTCAGCAGAAAACATTTTTAAAATGTAATTCAAAATATTAACAAAATCTGTAACATCTGTATCCATAAATCTGTATCTCAATGATACAAAAATTAAAAGAACAATAAATATAAAATTAAGGTACAAGATTATGAGATGCATTATTTGAATGCTTGGCCAAAGAGATGTGTCTTTAATCTAGATTTAAACACACAAGAGAGTGTGTCTGAACCCTGAACGTTATCAGGAAGGCTATTCCAGAGTTTGGGAGCCAAATGCTTTTGTTTAATCGTTGATGAAGGACCATTGTTGATTTTTGTAGGTGATGAGGGAATGGGAAGAGGCCGAGAGACAGGCAAAGAGTTTACCACGCAACGACAAGAAGGCCGTGATCCAGGTCAGTTTGTGTCATGGGAATTTCCCCTCGATGTTACTTTTCCTCGAGGCTTTGCTTGACTTCTCCTGCGTTTCTCCCGCAGCATTTCCAGGAGAAGGTGGAGGCTCTGGAGCAGGAGGCGGCTAGCGAGCGACAGCAGCTGGTGGAGACACACATGGCGCGGGTGGAGGCGCTGCTAAACGACCGCCGACGCCTCGCTCTGGAGAGCTATCTGTCTGCCCTGCAGGCCGATCCACCCCGGGTACACACTTCAACACACACATAAAGACTCATTCTTTCCATAGGTCGCTCTTTTGTGACTAACTTTCTCAGTTTGTCGCACCAGCACATGATTTGGTGGCACTTTTTGCTACTCTCTATTAGTGCTACTTGATCTTAGCGCTGCGTTCGACACTATTGACCACAACATTCTTTTATATAGACTAGAATACTTTGTTGCCATTTAATGGAAGTGCATTAGCATGGTTCAAATCATACTTATCTGACCGCCAATTCATCAATTCGTAACAGTGAATGAAGAGGTATCATATCGATCACAAGTGCAGTATGGAGTACCTCAAGGCTCAGTACTAGGGCCGTTACTTTTCACGCTTTACATGTTATCCCTGGGAGATATCATCAGGAAACACGGTGTTAGCTTTCACTGTTATGCTGATGATACTCAGCTCTATATTTCTTCGCGGCCCAGCGAATCATACCAATTTGAAAAAACGAACGCATAGTCGAAAACAAAAAACAAACGAATGCATAGTCGATATAAAAAACTACATCTATACACCTTTCACTTTTTAAGACTAAAACAAATGTTTGAAAGATGGATTCATTGTTATTCTTAATTAAAATCACAACAACAATAAAACAGTAAGCTACAATGAAAAACTATCTTATATAACGTTTATTAACAAAAACGAGGCAAAGACGAGGCATGGCATACGCCACATGCTGTATTATTTATCAACTATTAAATTACAGAAGGTTTAGCAAACACTGAGGAAACAAATAAATGTAAAAAATAAAAGAAAGCCTCCATAGCGTGAGTTAAACAGCTCTCTTCAATAATACGACCACGTCAAATTGTAACTCGCACATTTTCAAAAAATTGTCGCATATGCGACCATTTTGGTCACAGTCTAGAGCCCTGCTCCGCATTATAACTACAGTCTAGATACTGAAAAACATGAGGATCTCACTAGCATGCCAAAGTTTGGAGCCGGTAGAATTTTTGAAAGCAGTCTCTTCTGCTGAGCAAGGCTGCGTTTATTTGATCAAAAATACAGTAAAAATTTTAAAATATTATTGCAATTTAAAATAACTATTTTCTATGTGAGTACATTGTAAACTGTAATTTATGTCTGTGATCAAAGCTGAATTTTCAGCATCATTACTCCAGTCTTCAGTAGCTAAGTTTCCATCCAAAGTTACGAATTAAACTTATACGCAAAATTGGAATTTTGCATAAAACATTTCCGAATAAAGCACCGTTTCCATCCAGTGCAAAAACCAGTGCAAAGATTTTCAAATAGTTGTATCTCGGCCAAATATTGTCCTGTCCTAACAAACCATACATCAATGGAAAGCTTGTTTATTCAGCTTTCAGGTGATTCAATTTTAAAAAATCAACCCTTATGACTGGTTTTGAGGTCCAGGGTCACAATCATGACACACACAGAGAAGCTTCCCGTCATGCACTGTGCTGATCTCAGATCTCTGATCTTCATCTCGTCTCTCTTTAGCCGCGGCACGTGTTCAGTCTGCTGAAGAAGTACGTCCGCGCCGAGCAGAAGGACCGACAGCACACGCTCAAACACTTCGAACACATGCGCATGGTCGACCCCAAGAAAGCGGCGCAGATCCGGCCTCAGGTACGAGACATAATCATCTCATTCACAAAAATTTATTTGCATTACAGTGTTGAACTTCTGCACTTCTTAAAGCCAACATAAATCAGAATATAAGTCAAAAATGTTTTATTATTTTTTCAGTGAGATTGATGTAATGGAGAGAGACTAATAGTAAACTAATTAACTAAGTGAAGTTAGTGTCTGAGGCGATGTCATTGAAATACTGTTATAGTTTTTATTCATATTTTGAATTAATTCATATTTTTATATTTTTTATTTTCATTTTCATTTTAGTTAAAAGTTTGTGTTTTGTCATTTTATAATTTGTCTTGTTTTTTAAATGTTATTTTAATTTCATTTTAGTTTTAGTTATTTTAGTACATCAAGTTAAACTAAACAGACATGAGAAATATTGCCTGGGCAACTAGCTGAAATGTAATACGTTTAAGATTTAATCTTATTTTATTTCAGTAAAAATTATTGAAAAAACATTTGTTTTTTGTGGTTTTAGTTTTAGTTCACTATAATAGCCCTGATCTACGGAAGTTCTAAGAGGCCATGCATTATTCTTTTTTTCCTTCTTGTTTTCTCGTTATCACGACTTAATTTTCTCGTTATCTCGACATAACAAAAGTTGTTTTCTCGTTATCACGACAATTTTCTCGTTATCTCGACATAACAAAAGTTGTTTTCTCGTTATCACGACTTAATTTTCTCGTTATCTCGACATAAAAGTAGTTTTCTCGTGAACTCAACATAACAAAAGTTTTTTCTCGTTATCACGACTTAATTTTCTCGTTATCCCGACAACAATGCGTTTTCCTTATAACGGATTTCTATGGGTAAAACGCAACGTGTTATTAAATGTATTGCGTTTTTATTATGAGCTAATCTGCTCGACTGTATATAGAATGCTTTATTAAGAGTTTGTCTTTCAAAAACCCTGTCTTAAAGCATTAAGCCACATTAAGTGTTTTCCTTATAACGGTTTTCAATGGAAGGAAACGTTTAATGTAATTAAACGCATTGCATTCTTATTATGGGCTCATCTGCTTGGATGTACATATAATGATTTACTAATAATGTGTATACTGAGTTTGGACTTTTAAAAACACTCTCAATTAACACATTAAGCCACGTTAAGCATTTTAGAATGTTGCGTTTGTTACTATAGCAACAGTAGACTCAAGATGCATTGTGTTTTAAAACAAAACAAACAATCATTGTTCAAAGACCCACTTGTGTTATGTCGAGGTCATGAGAAAATTAAGTCGTGATAACGAGAACAACTCGTTATGTCGAGATAATGAGAAAATTAAGTCGTGATAACGAGAAAACTTGTGTTATGTCGCTATCATGGGAAAACTAGAAAGAAAAAGTGATAATAATGCATGGCATCTTAGAACTTCCATACTGATCTGAGGTTTGAATACAATATTTGATGTAAATGTTTAATATGGTCTCTCATATATATTTCATTTGTACATCAGGATTCCTATTGTTTCTAGATGTTTTTCTGTCATTTTAGCCTGCATGTGTTATTTTTTATTTATCGAGTTTTGTCTAATTATTTGAAGAATACAAGTGTTTATTTTATTTTATTAACCACACTATTACAAACTCTTGTATTATAAACGATTCAACTAATTCTCACACTCTATTGAAATGGCTTGTGATTTGACTTTGATTTTAAATCAGTCACATGTTCCATTTTATGATGGTGTTGCCTTAGTAGGCTCCATTTGTAGGACATAGACAACAAGCTAGTTCACCAGGTTTTATATGAAGCCTATGAAGATGAGCGATCTTTGGGACTGAAGCAGATTACAGGCTCAGTGACCCTCCCGACATTTGCCCTGTGACCTCTGACCTCAGGTGCTGACCCATCTGCGTGTGATCGAGGAGCGGATGAATCAGTCTCTTGGTCTGCTGTACAAGGTTCCCGGAGTCACTGAAGACATTCAGGACCAAGTCGGTGAGTTTGTGAGGATGAATAAAGAAACATGACCTTTGACACCATTATTAACTAAAACTAAAGATAAAAATTTTTTTTTTACTGTAATGGAGTGTCGCACATGACATGTGGGCGAAAAAAAGTTCTTTAAATAAATTCAATTATAATTAAAAATTTCTTAGGGATAAAAATCTACCTCTAAACTATAGGGAGCCCTTTTGCATTTCTATAAGGTTACAATTAACGACGGAGCCCAAACTTAAACTCAATTACTATTTATTTTTAACTATAATAATCAACACTCAAATTTAAAAAATGTATGCAAACATGGAAATTGTTTTTAAATTAACTTCTAAATTATACAATTTCTGTTTGTTGTTGAACTATATTCATTTATTGAGTCAGCTTGTTTTATAAAATATTTATTTAAGCATATACATTAAATAATTAAGATGTCACTTACAGTTAAAGTAAATATGACTATATATATATATATAACAAACAAAATAAAATATTTAAAAAAAACATTAAATTTATTTGATTTCAACTATAATAAAACATATTTGTTAATTAAAATAAATAAATGCTAACTGAAATAAAATAGAATATATAAAAACTTATTTTTTGGTTGAATTTAAATAAAAATTAATAAAAAAAAAAACTACAGACTAAAACAACAAAATTACTAAAACTAACAAAAATTAAGCATGCTGAATTATTTTTATTTATTCTGAATTATTTTTAATTCATCTAATTGACAAGGCAACATTGCTCATTTTCATTTAGTTTTACTTGGAGGTTCAGAAAAACTAAAGCTAAAACTGAAATAAAATTTATAGACATATTTAAAAATAATAATAATAAAATAAAAAAATGACAAACTTAAAATGATAAAAACTAATTCAAAATATTATTAAAAATTATAATAGTATCTCAGTGATGCACGTTTGAGCACTTCTTTTTATTATCTGTTTGGAGCTGCATCAGTGTCAGTGACGACAAACTGATTGTTGAAGCTTTGCTGAAGTGGTGCATGAACTCATCTGTGTGTGATGGAGTGATTTCTGTCTGATCTCGCGCTCCTCTTCACCTCCTGCTGCTTTATTTGTGTGCTTGCGTCACTGCACCATCTGTACTCTCTCTCTCTCTCTGTCTCGCTCTCTCTCTCACTCACTCTCTCTCTCTCTCT